ATTGGGAATACTTCACCACCATCTACAACCGCCTATGCAGAACAGAACGAATTGCTATGGAAAGTGTTCACCGTTCACCAATGGGACTACTAAGATCGATGTTGTCACCTTCAAGTTTATCCGCGCTGACTGCGACGACCGGAAAACAGACCGTTCTCTTCTCTACGCTGTCAAACTATTGCAAATCTTCGACACTATCATGTCCCTCGGAAAACAAAGCAACCCAACCTGTTTCAGTCGCAACTGAAGGCATTTGTTATTCTAACAGTGGGCCAAGCAAGGATCCCTAGATTTCGTCCTGGTTAGCTACATTCAAGTATGGAGTAAGCTCTAACTGCAATCAAGCAGAAGCAAAAATTATTCAATTGGAAAGCATCTGTGTACCATTCATTCCATTGCAAATTTGACCAATGCTTCCAGCCTCAGCATGGTACAAATGCCCTTCTGGAATCCGGCCCAAACCATTAATGATATTATTTACTACCCAAGCGATTCCTTGCCACCCATTGCACAACTTGTTTGGAACACCAAAATCAGTAGGATTTTAAAACTCTCCAATAAATTGCTGATAAATCTTGTCGGATAAGAACTTAGACAGTATAGTCTAAAAACCCATTGAGTGGCTGGCTACCAGGAAAGCACTGGCACATTCAAATCTTATATTGAACTAATAACATTACCCAACTGACCAAGATTTGCGATATATATACAGTCGATTCCGGTTAATCGGACCACATCGGGACCAGACCATTTTGGTCCTATTAAGCGGCTGGTCCGATTAACCGAAGTTACCCGATGTAACAAGATGGGACGTGCTATACATAACATAGGAAACTACTATTATGACCTGTATTGGCGGCATATATTTATGGCAAACACACAAAAAAGAACTGCTTTGATAATGAACTTTGTTCACTGAAAAAGAAATTTACAAACAAATTCTTCGTAACGACCTACAAGATATTCAGCATGCGAAGTACAGTTTTATACAAAGGGATTACCGAATTCCATTCAGCGTTTGAAGACCGTATCCAGTGTGGTTTGACGCATTCTTTTAACAGACTGCATTCGCACAAAATCACCACAAACATGTAACGCAGTAATAGGACTACCTTCATTTCCTTCCTGCATGAAATAGCGGTGCAATGTTTCAATGCATTTCCTTGCATCCTGTTTTGTGACTGGCATCAACACGTTAGGGTTCTCTTCATCCCTTCCATGGTCTTCTGTTGCTGTCGTGTGTTTCGCTGCTATTCGAGCAACAATGGCAGCATCGCATTCTTCATTTCCATCATAGAGTTGAAGTTCGTTGTCGATTGACAAAAATTCTTCGTAATTTTCAACATGTTTCAGCTCCACATTCTCGCCGTCATGTTCATTTACAACCACCATATCCACATCCATCTCCGAGACAATATGCTTAAAGCCACAGTGAGAAAAACAGTTCCGAAGTGTCGCACTGCTCATTTTTCGCCAACTTTCGGCCACGAATGTAACGGCTTGCAAAATGTTGAGCTTTGCACTGATTTCGCCGGCCGTCGAGGATGAGGTCAACAAGCCTTCCTCAATTGATTCAAGGATGTAATTCACCAATCTTGAACGATAAAAGGTCTTCAAATTTTTTATGATGCCCATGTCCATTGGCTGTATCAAAGAGGTGGTCTTGGGAGGCAGAAATTCCATCTGGATATTCTTCAAGAAATCCAAATTTGAATGTGCTGCACAATTGTCTAGAAGTAATAACACTTTTCTCGACTGGCGTTGTAGCTCTGTGTCCCAATCCTTCACCCATTCTTTAAAAAGTGTAGAGCTCATCCATGCATTTCTGTTCGCACGATACACAACTGGTAAACTGTCCATTCTGAGTCCCTTAAAGCAGCGAGGCTTGGCACACTTTCCTATAACCAGCAACTTCCTCTTGTCTGTTCCGGACATGTTTGAGCAGCACAAGACAGTTACGCGACCCATTGCTTTTTTGCAGCCAGAGAGAGTAACATGTTTGTAAATTAAGGAGCCGTCCGGTGTAGCCCTATAGTACAACCCGGTTTCATCAGCACTATTGATGTCATCTGCTGGAAATTTTTCAAGAAGGTCTGGTAGTTTTGTTGATTTCCATTCTTCAGCTCGAGCGCTATTGGCGCTTTCTTTCTCACCATGCGCTTTCTTAAATTTTACATCATGTCTAGATTTCCATCGAGACAACCAGCCGTCCGTAGCTATAAAATCTTCGTGGCCCAGCATTTTAGCGAGTTCTTCTGCTTTGTATTTTAACATTGGGCCACTTACTCGCACGGCTCGTCCAGTGACAAAGGCAAACCAATCATTAAGGGCCTCATCGACGTCTGGATCCTTGCCTTCACTCTTCCGTTTTTGGGAAGTACCTCGTCGTCCTTCACATTGCGCCCATTCTTCTCGCAGATCTTTCTCTTGTTTTATCAGGCGCGATATTGTAGATTTTGCCAAGCAGGTAATTTCCACCCATCGACGCTGACTAGTGGTTGGTCCCTGTTCCTTGATCTGATCTAGAAAACGAATCTTCTCAGCTAACGTCAAGTCCCGTCGTGGCATTTTCTTAACATGCAACATGACACGCACAGTTCACTGAGGTGAACTCGAGTCTGTCTCCCGGGTATTTCTATGGTTGACCTAGCCACCTGCTGTCCTATGATTTGCCGGACCTGTGTGTCCGCGACCACTTGCGGTGCTCGAGAGTAGGCCCGCAATGCGGGCTCAGGGCATTCGGCTCAATGGACGTGCGGTACATCGATCGAGCGGTTAACGACATGTGAACAAGCTTGCATGTCTTCGCTCCGCCTACAAGTGTTGGAAACTACAGTCAGTTTCGGGCGGTTCTGAAGCCAATTAGATAGATGTGCCTCAAGGTTGCCACAGTTCAGTTTATCCAAAGGCCAACTCGGATTACCGTAACTGAATGATACGCTTTCTTGCCCGACATATGAACTGTGGGTTTAGTCCAGACATCCAGGCACAGAACTTGATTTTAACACCTCTGTTACCTGCCACCTTCTATCGTCTGGTCCGATTAAGCGGAATTCCGGTCCTAATAAGCGGCTAAAATTAGGCTAGCGTAATAGGATTCGTTTCGGTTCTTCAGAATTTGGCCCGAATAAGCGGCTGGTCCTATTAACCGGTGGTCCGATTAACCGGAATCGACTGTATATATATATATATATATATATATATATATATATATATATATATATATATATATTCAAAATTGACCGATGTACAATTGTCAGTGTCACAACACATAGTCAACAACAAAAAGGGGAAAAAACGAGTAGTCAGTGAAAGGATTTGGAGAGCTTAAGATGTTAATGTGTTGTGTGAGCAGTGATCTTCCCGGTTGCTCAGTCCGACGAAGAGGCATAACTTAAGAGACCCCACCCCGCGCCTTTGGTCTTAAGACCTAACGCGCAAGGCAGTGGGGCGATTAACGAAGACCGTTGACATCCGGGTGGCTCCTACGCCTTCTCTGTGTTCAGTAGCAGTCCATAGGGAAGCCGGTGGCCAGCAACGTTGTCCATCCGCTCTCCGTTATATACTCACCTCTGGTTACAGAAGTGAGTGGTCAGTGACCCTATAGCCAGTCACATTGACTTTGACACAGCACCGTACGAGTTCTTGTGGTATTCGATGGAGAACCAGGTGACCAGCCCAGAAACCCCCACGCTCTGAGACGCTGCCGTTGACTGTCCGCGGCTGCCTGTTCATCTTGCCTACAAGGCAAACGAGACTTATTCGCAGTTACCTCTACAAGGAAGGCATTCCACAAATCCGCAACCTGGGGACCCGCCCGGTAGCGTACAGCTCCGCCACGGGACCTACAGCTTCGCCAGATTTGCAATACACAACCCTGATAGTATCCCGGCTGTCAAAAAAGGCATACAATCATTTATACACCTAAGTGACGTCAAGCCCATTGAAAGTGCCGTAACCGTCATTTGGCGCCAAATAAATGACTAATATTTCATTGGGTTGCCTCATGTTCAACAAAACGTTTCTCGATTGAAAAGACAAGAGTCGGTTAGTGAGGAATTTTAGAAACCGGAATCCGTAAGGCAGTTCATACGGAATAGGATCGTCGAGTCAACAATAGTCATATCCGTTAGCTGACTTGTTATATCAAACCCCCAGGATATCAGGGCGAAGTCTATTAAATGTGAATCGCTAGTACTGAGGACACCATGCTCTTGGTTGTCTGTCGGTTCCCGACTGTGAAATGCACCATTTGTGATCACTCGAGTCATCTCTGAGAAAAGCTAGCTGGTTGATCAGTGCTTAAATTGAGTAAAGTGCTGGGCTGGTTTCAGGTTAGGAACCAACTACAACGGTCGCCAGTAACTCCAGTCAGTACGCTAAAGTTGCGGAGTATGGCCTCGAACAACTGGCTACTAATCCCACGATGAGCCGCTTTCTCCAGACCAATGCGGCTAGCAAAGTATTAAGCCCTTTTAGTTTTGAGGCCCTTTTTGGTAGCTGGACGTTATTGACAGACTTACTGGCTGGCTGGCCGAACAAGCTCCAAGTGATGCCAGCTAGGTGGTTCGGGTTAATCCCGGTTCACCGAATAGTTCGGCGTCAGTGTTCCAGGACCTGATGAGTTTTCGCCTGGCAAGCCGTCTCCCTATAAAAAGCCACAAATGTCTGGTTGAAAACACTAACGTGGCGGAGATGACTCGCCACTAAATGTAGTCACTGCCTTGCCATACCGGAGGATCTTAAGCGTTTCGCGAACGTCATTCATTCCAAAGATTTCATCTGATCCCTTCCTATATTGGCGCATTCGCCGAACAAACTCACCAATTCACAGTAATACTAACAAATTCACACAAGATCACGTACACATGCACCCACATACACATTACACATACATATACACATATATCCAGTATGTACTGGTTACAGTGTAAGATTTCTGTACCATTACTGATGTTACGCGTTTGTATCGTGCTTTTGAAGGCGAGTCTCACACCTTCGAGAATAAATCGTTTATTTATTTCCTGTTGGATTATCAACATCACTATGGTTAATGGTATTCATATTATTACCGGTATTTTAGTTAGTATCACTCTTTGGATCATGGTCGCTGCAGAGACTGAAATCGATCATAAGCCACACGCAACTTAGTCTCCAGGATGTCAGTCCTCTCGTAAAAGGCTTTCCACCCATGTATTTAGTACGAAAGCTTGTCTTGAAGTCTGGTTCCACAAGTGACGACATGTGTATATATATAATGCGATGCTCTTGTTCAGTAATCACAAAAATGGCGCCAACTCGAGAGATGAAGGAGAGGAAATAGATAGACAAAATACTCAAGGTCACATTTAAAAGATCACAACGTTATGGGCACTGCTGTCACAGGTGTTAAAACACAGTAGGGAGAAAAGATCCGCAAGCACAATGGGGGAGTGCGAGCACAGTGAATGCGATGAAATGCCAACGATGCTTGAAATCTCACATGCGCACGTCCTCGTGTACGTTTGCACATGAGTGTGCGTGTGTGTGTGTGTGTGTATCACAGGGAACGGGTTCGGTTTTGGTAAATGAGTTGAATGCGTGCGATATGTACTTTGAAAATATGTGGAAATGGGAAGCGGAGCCAAGACAGGCTATACAATGATAGAATGAGTGCATGTTAAACGAAGGCAAAATCCTTTGACGGGAAGTGCGTTCACGATAAGAGGAAGAAACAAAGACAGATCTCTTCGGGTAATCTTAGTGTACGTGTGTGCCGATGTGCTATTGAGGTCTTCTCTCTTGTGGCTGAAAAACATGAAATTAAATAACGTTAGTCCTCATCCCTGTGAGCAGTGTAGGTGCATGCGCGGAACTGGGGACGGGACGCTGTTGAAGGCCAAGTGAAGAAAATGACCGGGAAAATGAATGAAAGACTGCCGGTCGGGACGAGGAAGCACGCCGGCTCAGTTGCCGGTTACGATTGCTTCTTGAGGTCCGTTTTGGGGAACATTCGATGGCGCAACAACCGAATCAGCCGTTTGCTTCTTTTCGGTCGCTTTGCTGGGGTGCTACAATCAGACTGCTCCTGTACACCAGCAGACGGGAGGCTATGGCCACTGGGTTGTGTGTCCACAGAGGAAAAGGACCAATCGGTCAATAGGCGTGTAGACTCGGACGACTCGGCCGAGGTATCGGGTGTGATAATAGAACGCGTAGTGAGTGAGATGCATTCAGTGGAAGACATAGCCGGACTTGGATCCAGACAGCTAAGATTACTATTGTTTGTCTGTCGTTTGATCAGCGATGGTGTTGAGTCGGATGGCAAACTGGAGACAGGTTTGCAACGATGCCTTTGAACGGCTACTTGTGATGAACTGCCAGGTACATTCAATGACATCTGATGACGCTTCGTCGATCGGTAGGGAGTTCGTGTTGGGGTGGCTGAGCTAGAGGGTGATCGTTTCCGAGCTGTGCCGCAGCTCATCATTGGACGTGGAAGGCAAGAGAATTTGGACGTCTTTGTCGTCTGTGAAGATACTGAATGCTGAGAATGGTTAAAGAGAAAACAAATTAACACAATCTGAGCATAATGTTTACGACAAGTCAGAGAAATGTATAGATTAACGAAATGCTTTTAAATGGGAACAATAGGGAAACATATGCCCCGTCTAACGGTTGGCAAGGTTTGGTTTTACACAAAAGATTGCTGCTCGTATATTTGCTGCTAAGATGCTTTTCCATTCATAGTCAGGTCAAGAATGCGCAGTATGCACGCATGAAAAGTGCACCCCTTAGCTGTAACGCACATCACTGAGGACTTACAAGAAATGTGTGGTAAGACAGTAGTTCTTAAACGAGCCGGTATAGTTATTATCACTGGAGCAGTTTGTCAACTAGGTTTTGATTGACTAAAGTCTACTCTTAATGTGGTCGGGTCAGCAGCTCTCAAGCTACACGGCACAGCATATTCCGGAAGAGGACCAGACGCATTTCGCCCTATTAGGGCTCGTTAATGATGCGCATTCCCTCGGTCTCTTACTAGGGATCGAACACATGACTGCTAGAGGCTGACGCAAACTAACTAGCAGCATAAGCCATGGGAGACAGCAGCTGGGCTCCATAAGTAATAGAAAGTCTACTCTGTCAAGTGTGTAACAACTAAGAAACACCTGAATTGCCATGGGTCCGTTTGCAAGCTTATATAACTTTTTACGTGTTTCTGATCGGGGTTTGATGTGCATTCAGATACCGCCCTAAGGAGAAGATGACACTGTTCTTAACTTTTGCAAAAAACTGGGTGCAATAATCTCAACAACATCCCACCTTAGAATGTCACTACATCAGGCTAGATGTCTCAAGGACTTGGTACTGAACTTGAGGTGCTCGTTAAAATGACAAAGGAAGTGAACGGAGAACAACACATCCAATGCGGTGACACAGGCGCAGTGTTGAACCGTAAGGAGGACGATCTGAGACAAGAGACATGTGACGATAGTCTGTTGATTTTGACAAATAATTCGTTTCCGTGAAGAGCCCATGTAAGATCACCGTTTAACGCCACCCCCAAAGAGTTCAAGGATGCTCCAAACTCTAACCGTTACTGTATCCACCCTTCTATCTGACTGGGGGCTTATGGGCGAGGAATGTCCGTTGCTCGTAACGCTTAAAGATCCGGCACGTGGCCGAAGTCATTGCGAGATTAGTGTGTATACATCTTTAATGTGTCCAGCACTACAGTGTCTGAAATGACAATGAAATAATTAGACAGAAAGTGAAAAGGTTGGACTATTTTTATGAGAAATATACTTAACCTTTGCTTTTAGGAGGAATTCCTGTCTGTTCTTCATACCGTTGTCTTAAATATATTGTAAATGCAGAAACGTACATGTTTATGCACATATGTATATTACAGGGTGAGCGATTAGTGGTATGCTAAGTTGACACAACAACCAATTTCGTACAGTACCTCCATATAGTGCAAAGCTCTATGACACAATGCGGGGGACAACCTCTGACATGTGATGTGCGGCCAAAATATGCATCAAGGTACCCTGACACTGCTAGCCAGTCACCGAACTTGCTTGTTCTACATGCATTGAGATCTCTGATGTGGAGTCCGTTGAGAAAAATATTCGCCCATATGTAAGCGTAGTGGCTTTTCGCCAACTGTGTGGGTTCACTCGATGGTTGCTGATGAGAAGATACAACAATATAAAGCATCAACAATCCACGCTGCTTACCACTTGTCTCACGGAACTCCATATTCATTTCACGAGGCAGTAAACGATCTGCAAATGCTTTGCAAGTCAGCCTGCAGTGCTCGGTAGCGGATAGTGATTTTATCTACGTGCAAAGAACTAACAATGATCGGGGAAGTGACTGCTATTATGGTGAAAACGAAGGTGCCGCATTCATGTTGCATCCATTTGCAAACATACAGTTAGCGCCTCCATCAATTCTGTTACAAGGATTATCGCCTTCGGTTAATAGAAAGACACCACGAATGGGAACTAGTCAAAGTACGCAAATCAAAATAGTGTAGCAAGGTCAAAAGGCTGTAGTTCAACATACCTAACATGTCAACCACATTTATTGAGATTACAGCGTTGATTTGGTCTAAAATAAAAACGATCGGTTGTGTCTATTCGGAAACAGCGTAATAAATGCGTAGGGATTTGCCATTGACCAACTTTACACTGAGCACGTAATAGGCACATTGTTACCGAGAAACAACAGAGGAGAACAGATTTTTGCTGATAAAACGCACCTTCAATGGTGTTGAAGCGGAAAGTGCGTGATACGACTCGCGTGATTCTCCCAAGTAAGATGGCGGCCTCTCACCATGCAGTCCACAGACCGCCTGTGTGTCAACCCCAGAAACGAACGTCGTATCGGTCGGCTGAAAAGGGTAGTGTTGTATTACATTGTGTCATCACTTAAATGTCTCTGTTCAAGGCCAAGCATTTCGTCTTCAATGACTATTATGAAGTATTCTCGTAAATGTAGCCAGTCGAATAACGGAAATTTGATAGCCTTCACTACGGTTAGACAAAAGTCGAAAACGGCATCAGCAACCGTAATTACTCCATAAATAAGTGATTGGAGGAGAATACAGTGTGAGACTGTTTCTGGGATGCATTGAGATACACGTTTGTTATGGTGACACGCACCACAACAAACAAGTGGGACGAACTTAGAGTTTCGGATGCGGTCCCAGTGATCGAATTGGCAAAGGTTAGCTTCAAAGCAAACCGTGGCCTCTATTGAGATTGTGTGTCGCAATCCAGACACAGGACGGGTGCTCCAGGACTCAATAATGAAATCAGACGTGTATTCTAGCGAGAGTTATTTGCTTGTAGCATCGGAACCTCAGTAATCCACAGATTGCTCCGATCTGCAATTGTGTCGGGTTAACACCGGCCCATTGGGTGCAGACTAGCGACATAATCGCTCTACAAACAGTGACACACGGTGTGGAACCTCACAGCACCTCAAAAAGAGGCATGCATTGTGGTAACATCTCACCCGAAGCACACTATCAACAACGTAGCATCACAGTCATAAAACGGTAGAAATGGAGCCTCATGAACAGTCAACCCTACGTGCACAAACTCACCAGAACCGGTGCTTCCTGAAGCGAATCCGCCTGTATTGCGCGTTGCTCTTCTCCGGTGAGCAGATGCTCTAGTTTACGTACAGCGGTTCGTCCATGCACTCTGGCAACATCGCATTGTTCTATGCGAAAGGATGGTGTAGAGAATAGGAATCACAGAGCGATTTGTCATACTTCGACGCTATGATAGTAAGCAATGTCACAGAAAATGGAATTAGCAACTGTAGAGCAAAACGGCTTTCCATGACTTGCAAACGGAAAAGGCAGCTAGAACCTACAGGACACTTTGGACAGTACACTCCATATTGTAATTAAGTGAAACGTGGAGGAAAATAACCCAAATTCCGAAAGATCGTTGATTACACACAACAAAAATGACGCGCGCTTCAACTAAGCAATGGAGCAGAAAGGTGAAGCATTGTCTTGTTCCATCCTACACTGGCTGCGTTTGAATGAGGAAAACGGCGAAATCTGTTTTGAGAGTTTTACGAAGAGAACACTCGGAAAATGTTATCCAAATACGGCTCAGTAGGTGAAGACGACAATAATAGGGTTGAAAGACATATAAGTTGTGAAGTTAGTTGCGCTGTCAGAATAAGATCACTGAAGCTAACAACTGATTTCCCCATTTTGAAATATACTTGGAACTGATGGAAAACTAATGATTTTACAAACGACCGGCTAGTTGCACAACAAATGGTACCACGCAGCAAAGGTGGTGCTCACGTGTTCGGATGTTTTGATTTTCAAGTAAAGACGGTAGCAAAGAATAACTCCTACCTGAACGGTTCGAACTGAGTTGGGATGCGCTGTAGCTGTAGCCAACTGAGTCGACATATGGATATAGTTGCGGGAGTACAGATATCACGGAATTTGTGAGTTGGTTATGGTGAATAAGCAGACATTTCTCGAGTTGGATGATTCCCCACCGAGCTGGCTGAAAAAACGCCCATCCAATTGCCCATACGGATTCTTGTCGGCAACGAAGAAAAATACATTGCTTAGTGCAGTAACCTAACCACAATAGTGAAATGTAAGATACTTAGGAGTGGGAAGTAAGCCACCAGATTTAGAATGCTAATCGCATTTAATTAATGATTCGAAAGACCGAAAGGTCATGGAGTGACCCATGACATGGTACGGCTCGTCAACTCGCGTATTCATTTCAACCATAAGTAACAGCAAACAGACCATCCACTGCACCGATGTCTGACAAAGCCGCGATGGCGAATAAGCGGCGTCGTGATATTCCGTAGATGATTGGTGGCAATTACCAGTTCGAAGGCTTAAAAGCACCTATTGCGCAAAGAACTTTGTAGGTAGAAAAGAATTTGCCTCACTGACTTAATGATACGCGGAGAGAAGGTTAATTGTCTTTGGACCAATCTAAAACAATGTAAATCCTTTCACTGTAACGAAAGTTGCCTTATGGCAACCCAGTGTCTATGACACTGGATCATCGTAGATGAATGTCTAAGTATCATTAAACTGAAAGCTGCAAAAAGAACGGACTTAAACTTAGTAGAAACATCCTCTAGATAACGGTGGTGAACCTACGCTTGCAATGTCCCATATCACCTTCCACAGATTTGTTTTTAAACTACGAATAGAAAAACACAATCGGATGTGATTTGCAAGTTTGTCCTCACGGATTTCTCCGCACGTGGATAGCATAAACAAGCCAAGGTAACACCCGCGAAGCCAGTCGAATGAAACGGGCGGTGCATTCTCAGAACGCATGGTTCGTGGTTCTTACAGTGCAGGCAAATCCAACCCGCTATCCGTGTAGACCACATGGAACGGCCGACAACCAATCGGTGTTTTCTGTGTGGACGAAAGGATATCGTGCGTACTGTTCAAGTCGAACGAGATCGATCACTTTGTTGCCCATTTGTTATACGCTGATGGTGGCCGTAATCGCGGTCGCTGTATCGATGGATACTGCATCAAAACACTTAGAAGAGGCGGTAGAAGACAGGTGAGAAATCGCGTTACGTCAAATCCCACGGGCAAATTTGCGCAAACGTGGACAAATATATCTAGGACACGTCCAAACCATCCTAGGTGTTGTATCGGTTCATTTCAATTGATAAGATGCAATCGGGGCTTTTGGGTGCCGTCACTCCAGTTGCCCCGATGCAAGTAGCCAAATAGAAACGATAGGAACAACGAAAAAAGAATTCAATGGAACAAATAAATACATAAATAAATGCTTTATTCCAGGCAGTGCGAGGCACGCCTGCGAAGGTATGATCCTGAAAATACAAACAGGTATGGTCAATAATTGTACAAAAAATATAGCAAGTTAACCGGTAATACATTGGACTTGTGTGCATGTAAATATATCTAGGTGTATGTGTAAGTGGACATGGTGAGTGCAATTGTGAAGTGTGACTGAATTCCTGTGATTATTTATTGTGTTTGCCATCGGATGAAAGGATCAAAGGAACTCTTCGAACTGGATGACGTTCTTAAAGTGAAGGAGATTGTCCGGAAGGGGAAGAGGCAGTGATTTTATTTAGTGGCTTCATGGGTAGGCCACCAACTGAACTGACAAAGTCAAATCCCGGAAATAATCACCACGGGTTATTGAAAAGTTGATAGAAGACCGATGATGAATGCGATTAGGGTACTGTGAGATCGATTACTATTCACGCAACAATTATCCCTGTCAGAATATGAGACAAAATGGCGGCTGAACCACCAAAACCGCCATTCATTAAGTATACTCTCTAGCCCCCATCATTATGTTTTCTTACGTGTTTCTGGTGTGAATGTCTCAATCTCCGGAGTTGAGTACGTCGAAAAGACGGCCAAGGTGGCAACCCATACCTAGACTATGGCAGTCTTCGTCAGATTTGAATATCTCGAACTCTAGAGTGGATATAGTATTCGTAGTGAAGGCACGCAACTCAATTGTCCGAGTGGATAACCTCTAGTCTGCGTTCTTCTGGGTAGACTGAAGGAAAGGTTGCGCACCATAGAGCAGTCTTCGCAGCAAATGAAATATAGTGACTTTTGCCATGACATATATCAAACAATAACCTGGAAGTCTATCGAGTAAGTGTTTCACACACACCCACCCACACATACATACACACACAGATAGTGTTATGCGGAGTATCAACAAGAACATACTAACTTGTTTCGAACAATCACCCGCTACGACAAACCGGCAAAACTTGTGGGAAGTGCCAGCTAGGAGTTTCCGGACGACAGTTCCATTGACAATACTGTGTTGGATTTTACTGGTAAGTTCAGTAATCTCATTAAATCCGCACGGGTCAACAAGCCCCTTCGTTCTGCAAGGCCACAATTATTCTTTCGGAGTAGAACCCGAAAAGATCTGACAGTAAGGTACGCTGCGTGACATGTGCATAGAGCGAACCCTAACCCTGACAACTGGAGTAACTATGTTGTGTATCGTAATCACTCTACCACACTTGTGCGCCAGGACAAATTAGTATACCAGTAGAGTTTAGAGGAAACGTTTTGTGTTAACAGAAAACTTCCGTACAGACATGTGAACCGCCTCCGGAATGTGAAACGTGGTATTCCCATAATAATATCAGCGGGTTGATGTGATCAACCCGCCGAGGTTGCAGCCAACGTTCTAGGGCTCCAACAGGCCCAAATTATTCAACGTGCTTTCAGCATTTGTAACATACCTGCCCCATTCTCCTAGAAGCCAGTATTTACACATGTCACGTTTAGTTCAGCGAACATTTTGAGGAAGCTGCTCTAGTTGCGTACCCATAGTTCCTCCGGAGTTGACATTCCCCCGAAAGCACTGCAGGTGGCAGCTGCGAGGGTAGCTGAACCACTAACCAGCTTTTCCCAAAGATGCCTGGACGAAAAGTAGGTGCCCAGCCTGTGGAAGCAAGGTATCATTACCCTATTTTCAAAAGTGGTAGCCGTTCAGAGCCATCCAACTATCGACCAATGACTCTCATCCCAGTGCTCTCTAAGGTGATGGAATCTACCATAGCTGAGGCTGTAATGGGCCACTTCGAAAGGTCCGACATCACACCGTGACCTTGAGCGAACGTGCGTGCAAAGCGCTCACTTGGGCACTCGTGGTTTTTTCGCTGCGGCTCAGCGGCATTTTGTCGCATCTCTTTGGATCTATACTCATTCGTCGTGTTTTTAAAAGCTCCACTTTGTGATACTATGTTCTCGAGTACACTAGAATAGATTCCGCATTTGCCCTGGATTCTAAATTCCGGGCAGTGTTTCGCCGATATCCAAGCGCCAAAAGTTGCCTAACTTCAACCATCGGAGACGTTGTTTGGTCTCACTCGATAGACCATTTCAACGGCTTTCGAACGAACCACCATTCGTTCAAATCCAACATTGCTTGGTGCAGCTGCAGGTCTCAAGGCAAATTCACCCGGCGCGATCCATAGGCTTAACCACGAAAATGCTCAATCACACCTTCGTGTATTCTGCCCCACGTTCAAGTTGACACATTCGACTGGCATGCCAGAGAGGACAGTCTGCGAGCACACAACTGCAACGTGAACACTGTGACCTTACGGACAACGTCGGTAACAGAATAACTTTTCACCAGAGCGGGTGAGTCATTCAAATGGTTCGTAACATTTGCTCAATAAGCGCGGTGTCCAGTGTGCCAGTCTAAAGACCTATGTGAATCATGTTCCAAAGTTGCCAAGGGGGACATTTTACGCCGTAACAGTTTCAATTTTGTCCATGCGAGATGCCTGCGAGTTAAACCTAGTCAGGCCAAGGTATTAAACAAACCAGACTCTCTATGGTTCTGTGTGGAATGCACATCGATCCCACTGATAAAAAGCTTGCTCCTATACCCTTAAAACTATGACCAGCTACTAGCCAAGTTTGAGGAAATGGTGACCACCAAAATCACTACGGTTGGGGTAAGCATAGCGGACTGTGCAACCCAATCCTCCCCTTGGTTGCTGCTCCTTTCCCGAGAAGAACAGCTAGTAACACCGTAACCAATACGACGCAAAGGGCCCAGAACATCAACAGCTGTTCCAATACCACACGTGGCTCATATTTGACTAATGCGGTTCCCAGTTCGCACTGAAAAAGAGCAAGTCGGTACTAGCGAAAGTTGGGTTACGGTTGCCTCAAAGAAGAG